AGTCCATTCAGGCTCCCCTAAAGGTACATCCCACATCACTTTCCCAGCACTACGTTTATAAGGCAGCTCATATTGGTGGTGTTGTTAAGTGCCATCTAGTTGGTTCTAACTCATAGCATAATTCTGTATAGGAGCAGGTGGTGGGTTTGATCTGCTGACCTTGAGGTTTGCAGTCTAATCCTTATCTTGCAGGGGCAGCTCATAGCAGTTGTTTAATAATGAGTTTCTCTCCAGATATGTGTTTAAACCATTTATAAACATGAAGAGGATTTAATTTTGTGTTTTCCATACCAGTATGAGTGTGATAATATATATATTCACTCAGGGAATAGCAACTTTCGTTGTCAAAACCACATGAAGACCGTACTAAAACGCATATTCCCAGGTCCCTCTTGGAAAGTCTGTTCCTGTTGGTTTGTAGTTCATCCCAGGCAATCTGCATTTTTAACAAGTGTCTGGGACATTTGAGGAGCCCTGGTGGCACAGTGGGTTAAGCATTTGGCTGCTAATCACAAATTCATTGGTTCAAACCCACTAGCTACTCTTCGGGAGAAGGATGAGGCACTCTGCTAGTGTATAGATTTATAGCCTCAGAAACCCTAAGAATCAATTCTAGTCTGTCCTACGGAGTCGTTATGAATGACTGCAATCGACTCAGTGGCAGTAGGTTTGGGAGCTTTCTGGGTGATTCTGATGATGAGCTGAAGATGGCGAGTCTCGTGTTAGTCCCTTATCCCCACAGCAATCTGACCCCATTTTGCAGATTAGAAAAACTGCGACTCAGAGGGGTAACTTGTCCAGTCATAGTCAGCCTGCCTCCCTCCCAAGCATATGATGTGTTCAATACTACACTGTTGTTAAGTGCCATGCAAGCAGTTCCAACTCACAGAGACCCTGTATAGGATTTCCGAGGAATGGCTAATAGGTTTGAACTGTCAACCTTGCGGTTAGCAGTCCAGTGCTTATCCTTCAGTGCCATACCAGCAATACTACACTAGGCATTACATTTGCTAAGACAAGCCTGCAGAGTACAGACCCTGTCTTCATGCAGGACTGGAATTCTGATGATGGGGCCTTGGCAAATATCTCACATTCCTCTTCCCTAGTCCCACCAAAGGTAGTGAGACTACTATGATGGTCAGGATGTGCCAGAAACACCCAGAGTCCCCATGCCAGATATAAACCCCCACCCCCATGATGACTCTAGCTTCTCCAAAGGGTGGAGGTGGAGTGGGGGAGTCCAAAGACTTAGATGAGGACAGAAACTATTGTCAGAACAGTAGCAACTTCAGCTACTGACCACACAGTTGAACAGTTGTGGACTTTAATGTGACATAAAAACAGTTCAGAGTTAGGATTCTTTATGATTCAATAGTGAATCATTGTTATTATGACTAACTGCGACTGTCACAATTGTAAAGGTAGAAGTTTTGTAACAAAAATGGGGGAGTAGTTAATCTTACAGTCCAGAAACAGAGGACCTTAGGACCATGAAGGGAGAAGAGCACAAACAGAATATGGGACCTTATCCAGAGAAGCATCGACACCAGAGATGGAGGCAGAGATGGGGACATAGAGAAAGGGAGCAGCTGAGGATTCTAGATTCATGGAAAGAGAGGGACTGAGAGCTGGCGGCCAGGAGGCTGACTTGCATTGCAGAATGTGCCCTTTGCTGGTGTAAGTTATTATATATGCCTGAGTGTTTAAAAAAAAAAAAGCTAAAATGAATAGAGAAAAATACTGTTAACTGATGGTATATGGAGGGGATTATAATCATTGTAATGAAACAAAGTATATGATTTGTTGAATGTAAAACTGATGATCTGCCCTCTAAACTTTCACTCAATTCACAATAAAAACTTAAAAAAAAACAATAAAACAATTCAGAAACCTCACTCAGTAAATCTTTATTCATTTAGCCAGCGGGCATCCCGTGTACTAGGAGCTGGACAGGGAACAAGATAACCACAGGCTTATGGTTTAGTGAAGTTCACACTAATGAGTGCACAATTATAAAGTGAAATGTATGTTCTGAGAGGAAGAAACCTGGTCTCCCCAAGGAGAACTTCCTGTTGTTGTTAAGTGCTATCAAGTCTGTTCAGACTCACAGCGCCCCTGTATAAGGTTTCTGAGGTGCGGCTGGTGGATTTGAATCAGCAACCTTGTGGTTAACAGTCCAGTGGTTATCCTACAGCGCCACACCAGGACTCCAAAGCTGAGCATACATACACTACCAGCCATTCCGCGGGAGAAAGATGAGGCTTTCTGCTCCTGTAAAGATTTACAGCCTCAGAAATCCTATAAAGGGTCACTATGAGTTGGAACCTACTTCATGGCCTATAACCACCATCTTGTCTATTTCAACTCATATTGACCCCATAGGGCAGAATAGAACTAGCCTAGCTGTAATCCTTACAGAAGCAGACTGACATACCTTTCTCCAACAGTGACTGGTGTGTTCAAACTGTCAACCTTTTAGTTAGCAGATGAACACTTAACCACTGCACCACAAGGATCCTTCATTGTTGTTGTTTGTGACAGAGTAAGACTGCCAGGTAGCGCTTTTGGTTTGGAATCTTTATGGGAACAGATCACCAGGTGTTTCTTCCTTGGAGACTGTAGATGGATTTGAACCACCAACCTTTTGGTTAGCAGTTAGCCAAAACTTTTGGCTAGCTAAGTGTTATACCAACAAGGCTTCTTCAGTTTACCATCCAAAACCAGAACCAAACCCAGTCATCTAGTTGATTAGGACTCACAGAGACCCTATATAGGGTTTCCGAGACTATAAATCTGTACAGGAGCAGACAGCCTCATTTTTCTCCTGAGGAGTAGCAGGTGGGTTTGCACCACTGACCTTGTGCTTTGCAACCCAACTCCTAACCCACAGCCCATTATCTCTGCCATGGAGTTGATTCCAACTCATAGCGACCCTGTATAGTGTTATATATCTTCACAGGAGTAGGGAATCTCATCTTTCTCCTGTGGAGTGGCTTGTGTGTGTTTGAATCACTGACCTTGGTGATTAGTTATCCATTGCTTATTCTACAGTGTCACGCCAGGACTCCAGAGGGGCATTCTAATGCTCTAAAGCTGGGGAGAAAGGGAAAACAGTATGTTCCCTTTCCCCCACTGTTCCTAGGATGAGTTTGTAGGCTGGGAAACTTACCTAACCCAACCTCCCATCAAAATAGGAAGTCTCTGCAACCTCGCCTTCATGACATGACTGTGGGGGCCTCTGGCTTGCACACTCCTGGTTGCAGAGCACTCAACACTTCAGTCCACAAATGGTCTTAGAAGGCTGGCCCCAGCCCTTCACAGGGTCTTAAAAAGAATAGGAACTTGGGAAGAGCAATCAGTGCCAGGGCCTGAGTAAGGGCAGTGCCCCCTGGTCCAATGCTCAAGCAGAGGTACTAGCAGGGGCGAATGGAGGCGGAGATGGGGGGGGGGGCTTCCTGAAGAGCCCTCCAGTCAGCTGTAGAAGCCACTTATTGTCACCAGCAGGATTTATTTCAGGGTCCTGGCAGCAAAGTGACTTACAATTACCTCCATCCCGATCTCCTCCTTTTCACGGGGGCTGCTGAATTGCATGGAGTGGGGTCTGCTCATGAGATCCTAGGGACATGTGTCCCCATTCTCACCAGAGCTCTTCCAGAACCCCCAGCCCCCATCGCAGCTGATGGGCGGAAAGCTCTGTGACTGTTATCTCTCAGCAGTCAGCTGTGCAGGGCTGGAGGCAGCAGCTTATCAGGAAGCCTGCAGTGATTCACAGTCCAAGTCCCAGCTTCTCTGCTGAATAGTAATTTCCAGCAGCGGATTTGTGCTCTTTTCCCCCTCCCCCAAGGGTGTGCTGTCCTTTCTCAGGGAGAGAGGGGTGTGAAAGGGAGAGCGCCCCCCCCCCCCATAGGAATGGAATGTTCTATGCCAGTCTTCTGAGTAAGGGTGTTTGCTGGCAGAAGACTGCAGACCTAGGGACCCCAGTGGTGGCTACCATTTCTGGGAATGACTCCCTGGAGAGGTCACCACTGCACTTCTTACTTCTCCCAGAAAAGCAAATGTGCTTCTCCCTTTCTTTATGGTGATGCAAAGAGGGATAGACATAGGTCCCCTTCCAGCCACAAATCCCTAAAGCCACAGCTAGTCAGGGAGGGGTAGGGAAGGGAAGGAGTGGGAAGCCAAGGATTGGGTAGCGGGGTCCCTTGCATCCTTCCAAGGCTGTCTAGTCTCTGTGCCTGATCCTGATGATTTGTCCCAAAGGTCAAAGATGCCAGGTCAGAGGGAGTGAGACAACGGACAGGCAGAGCTGCTCTGCAAAGGTTGGTGATTAAGAAAAAAATCTGGGAACAGTGCCATTTTTGTGTTTTATTGAAAGCAAGACTCCAGCTTGTGGGGGGTTCAGGGGAGGAGGCTTGGGTCTCTCTCTCCCTCAGGGTCAACATGCGGAAAGGTGAATGTTAAGTTAGGAGTCCGTGAAGACACCCCTGCCACCATGATCTCAGGTGTCCCTTGAAAGCACGGGAAGGGAAACTATCATGGAGAGGGCCAGAACAGGAAATCACCCACAATTCCATACTCCTCTACTCTCAAGCAGTTCCTTACCCCCTGCCCTCTGATTCCAAGAGTGGGTTGACTTCTAGAACTCTCTATTGCTCATAGACTCAGATATTCATGAATGTTAAGTGTCTTTAACCCTTAAGGGTCTTGAGCAAGGTTCGAGTCCAATTCTCACCATTCCCTCCCTGAGAGATCCCAGACGGAGTCCCCAGTCTTCAGTCAACACAAGAAGAGGGGAAACCACTCGACGAAGCTCCTCTACAATCGTTGGGGATTCTCTTCTGCTGTTCCAGAGAGAGGCTCCTCTATGGTTGCCCTGGCAGTCCATGCTGCCAGTTTGAGGGGCGGTGTCCAGATTATGGGCTCCAGAGGACGGAAGAATGAAAGGCTGAGGGTGCATAGGGGATAGGATCCAGCCCGTCTAGGTGGCCGTGAGCCTGGAGTTCTCAGGCTATCCGGCCCTTGTCCGCAGCACCTGGCTCAAGTTGTGACCGCTTAGCGGAGCCTTCCTCAGTTGCGGGTTCCCCTAGGCTCCTCTTGGGCGTAGGCGCGGCCGATGGTGATGAGGGACCGGGATTCGGGTCTGGGCACTGGTAGCCAGGTAGGTGCGGATCCAGTGCGTCCTTGGAAAGTAGGATAGCGAGCCCGGGCACATTCTTGAGTACACTGAGACTGGTTGGTGACTCTCCTGGAGAATGACCAGGAGTGGGCTCGGGTGGGAGGCTCTGCCACACCTCGCGCACGCTCCGGTAGCGCAGCCGCGTGACCTGGTGCAGGCCCGCCAGGCGGCGCTTGAGGATCTCGGCGCATGTGACGGTCTTGGTGGTGGCCCGACCGCATCCGCTAAAGACGATGGCGCGCGTGGCTGGTTGCGCCATGCTGGCAGTGGCGAAGGCTAGCAGGTTCCGAATCTTGCTGCCCTCCTTGACCCGCATGTGCACGGCGCCAGGTGCCAGGTCTGCGAAGGGGCTGGAGCCCGGGCCCCCACCCTCGGACCCGCCCTCCACCGACGCCTCCTCTGAGCGCACCTTACGGAAGTTCTCCATGCGCCGTCGTCGCCTGGACCGCGGGGACGCGGGCTTCGCCATGGGGCCGCCTTAACCCCTGGGCTGCATGGCGGCCAGTCGCACCCGGCAAGAGCCGGCGGGGGTAGGGTGTGGGGGCTACGTAGACGTTGACGGGCGGCGGGTTGGGACGGCGCAAGCCTCAGACCCCACTTCTTCCTGGTGGGCACCGCTCCACTCTGCCCTCCAGGAGCCCAACGCTCCACGCTTTTAACGGGCTGGGAAGCCCCGCCCCTGTCCCGCCCCTAACTTGGGCCCGCCCCGCCCCAGTCCCTGCCTCTCCGGCCTCTAGGACCAAGTAGCTGTTCTCCGTACCCAGGCTTGGGAGCGTGGCGCACGGTGGGGCGCAGTGTCCGCGCCAGCGGGTGACTGGAGAGGTGAAGTTCCCTTCTAATAGCCATCAGCTCTCCCTGAGCCAACCCTCGTACACCGGCATCCAAAATAAAAACTGCGGTGCAAATGCCGCTTCCAGCCAGCTCCCGAAGCCTTTCCCGGGTCCAACAGGAGGTCTCCCCTAGTTCCCGCCCAGAAAGAGATTTCTGAGCGATCTTGCGGCGGGTGGGGTAGGGGGCGGGGGGCTTCTCCCCTCCCATTCCCCAAGGTTTACCTCCCCTGTCTCTTCCGCTCCCAAGCTGGTTTTTCTCGCCTCAAGGACAGCCTCTGCGCTGTCAGCATAGTACAGGGAGAGTTGGCTCTCTCTCCATTCCGCGACTCCCATCGAACAGCAACGTCTCGGCAGGATGCTCGAGGGGCGGCTGGACCCGAAGGACCTAGTCACGCCTGACCCGGGCTCGAGGTTTCCGGACCTCCGTAATCCCCTGGGGCCTGGAGAATGAGTCGCTGGGACTAGGAGTTCCCCGAGGTGAAAGGGGAAGAGAACAAGGAAAATCCTTTCTCCAGGGGAGTTTGGCTTCTTCCATCCTTGTCTGAAATTTTACTTTTGAAGCCGACATTGCTCTTGGATCCCTATTCCTCTCTGATGGGATTCGTTGTCAGTCAACCTTGGCCGCCACCCTGTGACCCAAATAGGCCCCCTTTTCAAAAAGGAGTCTCGGTGAGGGTAGTTTGGAGAGGGAGAAAGGCGGGGAGTCTTGGGGATGCCCCTCTCCTGGAGCTCCAGGAATCCTAGCGAGCTGGGTGGGATGAGCAGATGAAGGAAGGGAATGATGGACTGTTGGTGGGAGGGAGAGGGTTTAAGAAGGTCTGGCGCTGTGGGATAAGCATTGGACTGCTAACCACAAGACCGGCAGTTCAAACCCACCAGGCGGCGCCTTTGAAGCCGTATTCTGGGTTTCTATGAGTCGGAATGTACTTGACCGCAAACAACAGACCCGCCCCAGAACTACCCTAAGACCTTGCCCTTCATCCTTCCCTCCTCCAGAAACTGAACTGAGGAGGTGGGGGCGACCTCTCCAGGTTGGGGTGACAGCGGAGAGTGGATTCGACTACGACAGGCATGGGGTGAGAGGAGAAGGAGAGCTGGGTCGGGCAGGAAACCCGGAAAGTGCTGGGGCATGACGGTGCCTGTCGGAGCTGGTCCCCAGTCCTAAGAAGGAGCCCTATCCCTCCTCGGCATCCAGTAAGTCCTAATTAGCCCTGCCGTTCAGTATACGGGGCTGACCCCATTATCGCTTCTTAGGGGTGGCTAGAGCCGCTGAACCTCTGCACATCGACGCAAGAATGGCTGATCACGTCCCCGAGACCAAGGATCCTTTGGGCTGCACCGACTCCGAACTGGACTTCAGCCATGCCCCAGCCCCCGATAACCCCCACAGGAACTGCCCTAGGAGCCGAAGGCCCAGCAGCCAGGGCGAGGACTCGAAGACTGCAGCCCATAGCGTGGCGAGGGGATTGCGGACTCCGCAAGATTGGGCGACATTTAGGGTTAGGCCTGAGAAAAAAAAAAAACAACAACTGCCTACTGAAACCGACGTTGGAATCGACTGGTAGGGGAAGAAACGATGCAGTCTGGGGAAAGGGGCCTGGGAGCTCTGGGTTTCGTGTCGAGTGAGGATGGGGTGTTTCTGTGTCTGCCCAGATTACTCCTCGCGGGTTCTGCCTTCCCAACTCCTGCACTGCCGCGTGTTGTAGAAAACTGCCTCTCGTGTGTTCCTCAGTCCCTGGAAGCAGAGCTCCGAAAGAGCCCGCCGCCCCTCCCTCCGGTCCCCTGGCTTCCCAGCTCCCTCAGCTGCACTTAAAATGTAAATGTACATCGTGATTAGCCTCAGGGTCGCTAATTACAGCTGAAGCCATTCATTACTCTGTCAGCTTGCGTGGTAGCCCGCCGGCTGTGAGCTGCTGCAGGCCGCAGGAAGCGGGGGGTGGGGAGGATATTGTCTGCGATTTGAGGATTAACAGTACGTAGGGGTAACTCTTATGGCTGGAGAAAGCTTGAGTGGGGAGGGAGAGAATGAATGGGGGGTGACTTGGTAGGTGGTGAAGAACCGGTGTGGGCTGGAAGAGGGCAGAAAAGTTGGGGAAAATGGAGGGAGAGGACTTGGGGAAGGTGCTGGGGTGAGAAGGGAGCAGAGTGAAGGGAGAAGAAAACTTTGGAAAGACAGCAAGTAGAGAACTAACTCTGGGAAGGTAGGTTAATAAACGTGCCCATCTCTGCCAGGTAGGCAGTAGGATTCCGACTAATTTTTTTTTAAAAAAACGATCTTCTTCTGTGTTTATAGATGTAAATGTATTTTTTAATTTATTGTAAAAAATATATATGTATGTATAAAACACAAGGTTTGCCTTTTAAAAATGTACAAGTTAGTGATCTCACCACTGCTGATTTCCAAGTTTTCCATCACCATGAAGAAGTCAGTAACCTTTCAGCAATACCTGATTTTCCTTCCTCTTCACTAAGGTAAATAAACTTGCCTCTATGCCTTTGCTTAATTCTAGATATTTCATATAAGTGAAGTCATGCAATATTTGTCCATTTGTGTCTGATAAATTTCACTCAGACTAATATATTCAAGGTTCTAGCATGCATCAGAACTTCATTTCTCTTTAGGGCTGAATAACAATTCATTATATGTATATACCACATTTTGTTCATTCATCTGATGATGCACACTTGAGCTGTTTCCATATGGACATAAGTGTGTTAAAATATCTGCAATAAAACAGCATATTTGTTGTTGATGCTGTGAAGTGCTGTCGAGTCGGTTCTGACCCATAGAGACCCTGTATAGGGTTTTCGAGGAGCAGCTGGTGAACTTGAACCACTGACCTTGCAGTTCAAAGGGCTTTGCAGTCTGGCGCATTAACCCACAGCACCACACCAGGACTCCAAAACAGCATATTGTCATTGTATTACTTCTGAGGCAGGATTCAGTTTGTGTGGGGCTTTTTAAAGAAAATAAATACTAAATAGGAATACAAAATAAATGCAAGATCTTAGAACTGCCTGTGTAAATGACAGACTGACCCTGAAAGCTAAGATTCAAATGAACTTCTTTCTGCCTTTGTGTGACCTTGGGCAATTTACTTCTATACCTTGGTTTTCTCATCTGAAAAGTGGGACCCATGAGTGATGGTACTTGGCCTCATAGTGGTTGTGAGGTATACAGACATATAATACTCCTTGAAGCATGGTAAATTATCAGGAAATGTTGACTGTTATTATTATTCATGTTTGTGTGATTAAAATTAAAATAAAAAGAGATGAGAGGAAAGAAAGCTGATAAAAAGGAAGGAAATGAGAAAGCTGTGGACATACAATTTTTCTAGTTTTCTAGGGGTTGCAAAGTGACAAATTATTTTCACCCTGCAAAGAAGCCTGTAGGGCAATAGAGCGCAAACCTAGCTAATGGGGCACCAGCCCTGCTCTGCAAAGCTTATCTTGAGCCTTAGGCAGAAGCACACCCTATTTCCTATGGACAAGTCTCTCATCCTCAGACTGGGTGATATCCATGACTAAGATCGGCTCCACTTCTTGAAGGGAAGAGTATCAAAGAACTTGCAGACATTTCAAGGCTACATTAGAAGGAGGATGTTTTGGGAGGCAAATTTAGGAGAGGAAAGCAGCAGTCAACATGTTGAAGCAGCTATGTGGAAAGAGACTGACCTTAGACCAAGAGAATTGGATTTATTTTCTGGCATACTGCAACACTTAATAAAAGTTTGTTAAATGAATGTGTAAATGTTTCGAAGATTGTTTTCAAGTCTTGTCATGAGCATACCAAGCAGTGACCTTCTTACAGGCTGACTGGAATTATGGGTATGTGATTTAACACTGCTAGACAAATGGCAAGGAAACCTGGTTACACAGTGGTTAAGCACTCAGCTGCTAACTTCAAGGATGGTGGTTCAAATTTACCAATTGTTCCATGAGGAGAAAGATGTGGCATTCTGATTCTATAAAGATTATTGTTATAAGTGCCACTGAGGAGTTGGTTTCAACTCATAATGACCCTGGATAGGATTTCCAAGGAGCAGCTGGTAGGTTTGAATCATTGATTTTGTAGTTAGCAATCCAGTGTTTATCCTACAGCATCACACCAGGACTCTTAAAAGATTGTTGTTGTCATGTCGGGTGAACTTGAACTGCCAACCTTGCAGTTCAAACTGACTTTGCAGTCCAGCACGTTAACCCACAGCACCGTACCAGGACTCCACAAAGATTACAGACTTAGAAACCCTATGGGACAGTTCTACTCTGCCATGCGGTTGCTATGAGTTGGAATTGACTAGATAACTAAGGCAAATGATGACTGTAGGGTGATATTCCGGAAGAGGTCCCTCTGATTCCATCTCCCATCTCTCCTGGTCTGTTGTTGTTAACTGCCGTTGAGTCGGTTCTGACCCATAGCGACCCTGTATAAGGTTTTCAAGGAGCAGCTGGTAAGCTTGAACTGCCGACCTTGCAGTTCAAATGCTTTGCAGTCTGGCACATTAACCCACAGTGCCACATCAGGACTCCTGTCCTGGTTTATTCTTGTTATGTGCCGTGGAATCAGTTCTGACTCATAGCGACGCTGTACAGG